TCGCCCGGGCTAGTTTTTTGTGATTTTTTTTAGTAGGACCTCTTGAGCACTTACAGTATACGAGGCTCTATTCTAGGTACTGGGGATACAGCAGTAAATAACATCTCTAAATAACATCTCATTGGGGCTTAGGGCTTCCACGTAGGAATTTGGAGGAGGGATACCATTCCGTCCATAGCACCCATGAACAAACAGCCTGTAAGTGACAGCCAGGTTTTGAACTCAGAATGTCCATGTTCTCAACCCCTCTACTCTGTGCCTCTTTTTTTGTTTGTTTTTTGTTTTGGGGGCTTTTTTTTTTTTTTTTTTTTTGATAGAGTCTTGCTCTGTTGCTCAGGCTGGAGTGCAGTGGTGCAATCTCAGCTCACTGCAACCTCTGCCTCCCAGGTTCAAGCAATTCTCCTGCCTCAGCCTCTTGAGTAGCTGGGATTACAGGCATGTGCCACCGTGCCTGGCTAATTTTTGATTCGGGGCAGGCGAGCCCCAAAGTGGGGTTTACCTCACAAGGGTTCTTGGCTTTGCCCAGGAAAGAATTTAAGGGCAAGCCAGAGGTAGAAGAAAACAGCTTTATTGAAGAGGCAGTGTTACAGTTTTGTAAGTGCTGCAGCTCCTGCAGAGCAGGGCTACCTCATAGCAGAGAGCAGCAGCTCAGGGCAGTTTTGCAATCATTCTTATACCGACTTTTAATCAGATGCAGATTAACAGGTGGTTTCTGCAAACATTTCTAGGGAAGGGGTAGTAACTTTTGGGTCATCGGGTCATTACCATAGAAAGGGGAAGTAACTCCCCAATGTTGCCATGTCAATGGTAAACTGACCTGGCACACTGGCGAGCATGCCTTACGGAAAGCTGCTTCCACTCTGTCCTTGTTTTAGCTAGTCCTCAATTTCCTCCAGTGTCCGAGTCCCTCCTCTGGAGTTGAGTCCTGTTTCCTACCTCATTACTAGCTTAACATAATAGAAAGTTATCACTCTCATAACAATTCAATATGGACATACCTGGCCAGTGGGCAGCTTTTCTCCACGTGGTGATAAAGGAATTCAATCTCTCTCCATCTTTTGGTTCTTGCATTCCTTAGAGCCTTGGAGTTCCTGGTTTTAGCCAGTTGAGGTGAAAGAGGGAGGAGAGAAGTTACACTCACTTCTTGACCACCTTGTCCCTGAAATGACATATATTGTGGCTCTCATATTCCACGAGTGAACAGTAGTCACATGACCTCACCTAGACGCAGAGGGTTCTGGGAAATGTAGTCCCTAGCTGGGGTGCCATTTTCTAGTGAAACATGACTCCGTATTTTGCAAAGGGAAGTATGATTTTGTTGGATCACTGACCAACCTGACTCCACACCCATTCTATACCCCACAGATATTGATGAATGCACTGAAATGTGTCCCATCAATTCAACATGCACCAACACTCCTGGGAGCTACTTTTGCACCTGCCACCCTGGCTTTGCATCAAGCAATGGACAGTTGAATTTCACAGACCAAAAAGTGGAATGTAGAGGTGAGCAGAGGGTTTGATGGACAATCCAGAAAAGACATTTCTCTTTGTTCTTCTGGGTTTCTTGATATTCTCCAGTTCTTTGCAGATATTGATGAGTGCCGCCAAGATCCATCAACATGTGGTCCAAATTCTATCTGCACCAATGCTCTGGGCTCCTACAGCTGTGGCTGCATTGCAGGCTTTCGTCCCAATCCAGAAAGCTCCCAGAAAGACGGCAACTTCAGCTGCCAAAGTAATCATCTCTTCGTATGTGTTGGCAATGGAATCTGTTTCTGGCTTTGACTGGAAAATTCTCATTCTACCCAACCTCAGGATCTTCCTCTTACTGTTGCCTCATCCGCATATTCTGTTTCTTTTCTTCTTCATCCATTTCCCCTTTCAATAAATGATTTTTGGAGTACCTATTAATTAATTAATTAGTTAGTTAAACAGGCCCCTGCAGTAGGCGCTGAAGATTTGGTCCTAAATATGATAGGCATGATTCTTGTCCTCTTGTAGCTTATAGTCTAGGGAAGGAGCCAGAAAACACACACACACAATTATTTAATTATAACTATGAATAAAACAACAAAGAAACATAGTGTGCTTTGAAGTGACTAATAGGATATTGATTATGCTCCAAGCAAACAGTTAAGCAGAAACCTGAAGGAGGAGAAGGACTCCTCTAGAGCAAGAATGGAGATCATGCTGTTCTCGGTTATAGCAGATGCAAAGGTCCTGAGGCTCACACCAAATGAGGACAAGGGGAAGTGGCATTAGACATATCTGATGAAGTGGACAGAGGTCAGATTCTGCAGTGTCTTGGTGGCTTGTGAAGAATTTTGAAAGGGCTGGATGCAGTGACATGCCTATAAACAGCACTTTGGCAGGCAAAGGTGAGAGGATCACTTGAGGCCAGGAATTCAAGACCAGCCTGGGCAACATTGCAAGACTCTGTCTCTACAAAAAATAATGATAAAAAATGAGCCAGATATAGTAGCATGGGCTTGTAGTCCTAGCTACTCAGGAGACTGAGGTGGGAATATCACTTGAGCCTAGGAGATCGAGGCTGCAGTGAGCTATGCTCATGCCACAGCACTCAAGCCTGGGTGACAGAGTAAGACCCTGTCTTTTATTTATTATTATTTTTTTTGACGGAGTCTCACTCTGTCGCCCAGGCTGGAGTGCAGTGGTGCTATCTCAGCTCACTGCAACCTCCATCTCCGGGTTCAAACGATTCTTCTGCCTCGGCCTGCTGAGTAGCTAGGATTACAGGTGCCCCCACCACGCCCAGCTAATTTTTGTATTTTTAGTAGAGACGGGGTTTCACCATGTTGGCCAAGCTGTTCTTGAACTCCTGACCTTGTGATCTGTCCACCTCGGCCTCTCAAAGTGCTGGGATTACAGGTGTGAGCCACCGTGCCCTGCCAACCTTTTCTTTTAAAAAAGAATTTCAGAGTCCTTTTCCCCCCCAAGAATAATGGGGAACCATGAAAGGTTTAAAACTGTTAAATTATGGATTATTTACATTAAAAATATGTGTACCTTATTGGAGGCAATGAAGTATAACAAGTAAATGAATATAGCTGATGTATTTCCCAATATAATAAAGATAGTATCATCAATGCCACTGAATCTCTTATGCGTTTCTTCTCCACTCTATCTCCTTGTATCCTCCTCAGAAAACCACTTGGAATTTTGTGTTTATTATTTCCCTACTTAAAAAAATATTTTCCCTGGTACGTACCCCTAAACAATATCTGCCTAGTATTGCTTGTTTTGGAGCTTTGTAAAAATGATATCATACTACATATGACTATAGATGTATGTCTTTTATATGTATGACTTCTCTAATTTGCTCTGTTTCACTCATTATCATGCCCTTTAGAGTATAAGTTGTGCAGGGATATAATATAGAGTGAGAAGTCACACATATAAAAACCATACATCCATAGTCATATGCATGATTGCCTCTAAGAGGCATGATATTGAGTGAAATAGAGCAAAGTAGAAAATTGTGTGTCATAGTAGACACATCCTTCATGTCGTAGTGTGTAGCTGTGGTTTGTTAATTTTCCCCCTTGTGTATTAGGGTAATAGATGGATTTTAAGCCAGGGAGGGGAGGACATGAAATCAGACGTGAATTTTCATCATATTTTGCTGAGGTTGAAATTTTTTTGGTTACTGTTGTTTTCTTCCTAGGGGTTCCCTTCAAATGTAAGGAAGATATGATACCCGATAATGAGCAGGTCCAGCAATGCCAAGAGAGAACCACAGTGAAACCTGAATATGCAAGTATTTCTTAAGGTTCCTAGTTTCTGAGGTTTTCTTAGAAGTCATTCAGGTAGAATGTTGTTTTTGCAGTTCTAACAAAGGCAAAAGTAATAGTGGCCAAAACCAGACAGCAGTTTATTTTTCTCCTCTGTAACCGGCTGAGTGTAAGCTGTGCAGAGTTCGTACGATGGCTCCGTTATGCTCTGCCAGCATCAACACAACAAGCCGCTCACTTTGTGGTCCAAGATGACTGCTCCAGCTCCTGCCCTCACATCTGCATTCCAGCTTGTGGGAAGGGGAAAAGAGGAAGTGAAAAGCACGATCCTTCTCTTTAAGCATATGACCCAGCACCACTTCTGCTTGCACCTGATTGGGTAGAAATTAGTCACGTGGTCACATCTAGCTGCAAGGGAAGCTGGGAAGAGAGGATATTTGCCTATCGAAAACTTGAGGATTCTCTTAATAAAAGAATGGGAGAATATATTGGAGTCTTCCTGTCGGTGAAGGTGTTGATGCTGCAACTGAGGGATGTTGGTGTGGGGCTGTTACACAGCCAGCCAGGCCAAAAGGAATTTGGACATCCTGATTGTCTAATGAAGTCATTGCAATGAGTAAAGACTCCATGGCCTCTTTAGACATTGATGTCACTATTCTAAATATGAGCTTGTAAATTAGCTTTGGACCACTGTTTTTCTTTTTAAATTGTGGTGAGGTACACATAACATAAAATTCACCACTTTAACTATTTTGAAGTGTGCAATTCAGTGGCACTTAGACCATTCACAATGTTATGCAATCATCACCTCAATCTAGTTCTAGAATTTTTTTTTTTTTGAGATGGAGTCTTGCTCTGTTGCCCAGGCTGGAGTGCAGTGGGGTGATCTTGGCTCACTGCAACCTCCACCTCCCGGGTTCAAACAATTCTTCCTGCCTCAGCCTCCTGAATAGCTGGGACTACAGGCACCCACCACCATGCCTGGCTAATTTTTGTGTTTTTAGTAGAGATGGGGTTTCACCATGTTGGCCAGGGCTGGTTTCAAACTCCTGACCTCAGGTGATCTGCCCACCTCAGCCTCCCAAAGTGCTGGGATTACAGGTGTGAGCCACCATGCTCAGCCAAGTTCTGGAATATTTTTATCATTAAGCAGTCACTCCCCATTTTCCCCTCCCACTAGCCCATGGCAAACACTAATCAGCTTTCTGTCTCCGTGGATTTGTCTATTCTTGACATTTTATAGAAATGGAATCATGCGATATTTTCTCCTTTGTGTCTGGCTTCTTTCACTAAGCATGATATTTTTGAGGTTTATTCATGCTGTAGTACATATCAGAGAACTCCATTCCTTTTTATGGCTGAATAATATTCCATATGGACCACTGTTAGTTCATACATTTTCTCTTCTTTTAATATCACTAAGTAGTTTCGCTATTTGTTTATGTTTGCTTTTTTTATTCATGGGAGGAAAAGGTGATATGATTCTAATTCTGATCAAACAATCAGTTTTTATTTCCCTGAGAATTCTACAGACTCAGGAATTCAGGGTTACCTCATATGATGGGCTTTATGGGCTAATTTATAGATTACATGCTTGGGGGAATAATCAATTCATGCTCATAAATGCTCTTTTTTTTTTTTCTGGGTCACAGGTCTCCTTCTGTGCACAAATAAATAACATCTTCAGTGTTCTGGACAAAGTGTGTGAAAATAAAACAACTGTAGTTTCTCTGAAGGTAACAATTGGCTCTTTTAAATTGTGTTTTGAGTTTCAAACATCCTGGGCACACTTTGGGTGTCGTTATGGCCGGGTGTGGTGGCTCACACCCATAATCCCAGCACTTTGGGAGGTTGAGGCATGTGAATCACTTGAGGTCAGGAGTTCGAGACCAGCCTAGCCAACATGATGAAACCCTGTCTCTACTACAAATACAAAAATTAGCCGGGCATGGTGGCAGGTGCCCATAGTACCAGCTACTCAGGAGGCCGAAGCAGGAGAATTGCTTGAACCCGGGAGGCGGAGGTTGTGGTGAGCCGAGATAGCACCACTGCACTCCAGCCTTGGCAACAGAGTGAGACTCCGTCAAAAAAAAAAATAAATAAATAAAGGAAAGAAAGATGTCTTTATAATTAATGGATTGTGAATTAATATTTGATTTTTTATAGCTGTAAGATTTGAAAAATTAGCATATAGTAAAATTACCTTTTTACTTGTATAGTTCGATGAGTTTTCTAACCTGAATAGATTTGTGGAACTACCACTATAATTAAGATGCAGAACAGTTTAATTATCTCTAAACATTCCCTTGGGCTTCTCCTTTATAGTCAGATACTCCCTCCACCACTAACCTCTACAAATCCCTGATCTAGTCTCTGTCACTGGAGTTTTGTCTTTTAAAGATTGTTATATAAATGAAACCACATAGTATGTGGTCTTTTGAGACTGGCTTCTTTGACTCAGCATAATGCATTTGAGATGCCTGGATAGTGTGTGTATAAACAGTGCCATTTCCTCCTCCTCCTCTTTCTTCCTCCTTTCTTTTCCTTCCTCTTTACTGTGAATGAGATTCAGCACATTCTCATTGCTGTGTAACCATCCCCACTATCCATCTCGAGAACTTTCTCATCTTTCCCAAAAAACGCTGTCCCTGGCAGGGCACAGTGGCTCAGCCTGTAATCTCAGCACTTTGGGAGGCCGAGGCAGGCAGATCATGAGGTCAGGAAGAGGTCAGGAGATCGAGACCATCCTGGCCAACGTGGTGAAACACCGTTTCTACTAAAATACAAAAAATTATCTGGGCATGGTGGCACGTGCCTGTTGCCCCAGCTACTCGGGAAGCTGAGGCAGGGGAATCACTTGAACCTGGGAGGCGGAGGTTGCAGTGAGCTGAGATGGAGCCACTGCACTCCAGCCTGGGCAACAGAGTGAGACTTCATCTCAAAAAAAACCAACAAAAACAACAAAAACAAAACAAAAAAACCCCAAAATATCCCACTCTGTCCCCCTGAAACACTCACTTCGCATCCCAATCCCCAGCCCCTGGCACCCACCATCCTACTTTCTGTCTCTGTGAATCTGGTGACTCTAGAAACCTCCTAGGAGTGAGATCACACAGGATTTGTCCTTTTGTGTCTGACTTCTCTCACTAAGCGTGATGTCCTCGAGGTTCATCCACGTTGTAGCATGGATCAGTGCTTCATTCCTTTTTCATTACCGAGTAATATTCCATTTTATCAATAGAGCTGCTATAAACAAACATCCATATATAGTTTGTGTGTGTGTGTGTGTGTGTATAAGCATAAATTTTAATTTCTCCAGCATAAATACCTAGGAGTTGTTAGGTTATTACAGTTGTTGATATTAAGTTTTTCTTTCTTTCTTTCTTTTTGAGATGGAGTTTCACTCTTGTTGCCCAGGCTGGAGTGCAATGGTGCAATCTCGGCTCACCACAACCTCCACCTCCCAGGTTCAAGTGATTCTCCTGCCTCAGCTTCCCAGGTAGCTGGGATTATAGGCATGCACCACCACATCCAGCTAATTTTCTATTTTTAGTAGAGAGGGGGTTTCTCCATGTTGGTCAGGTTGGCTTCAAACTCCTGACCCCAGGTGATCCACCCACCTCAGCCTCCCAAAATGCTAGGATTACAGGTGTGAGCCACCACGTCTGGCCAAAACCTAGTTTTTCTCCAGCTTTAAGTTGAACTCATTGACATTGTCATTTTCTTTATAAATCTGGTTATTTCTGTATGAAAATAAGAATAACTTTTTACTTGTAATTTTATTAATTTTAAATTAATACATTTATTCATAAAGTACACATTCATTCCTAGGGTTTTCAGATTAAATTTTAATAAATGGTTAACCCTATTTACAAACAGTTTAATTTCCTCAAATGTTTTATACTATGTTTTTAAATATTCCAAATCCCCCCTCCCCGCTCCACGCAAATTTCAAGTACCTAGTGAAGAGGATTTACAAATCTAACACGCAAAGTCACCTGGGTCCTCAGCGACTCATAAATCCAATTGATCGAATCTGTAAATGTAGTAATTCAGATTCTTTTAGACATTAAATATGGTTTATAGACAGCCATGTTATCTTAAATTGTTCATATAAAATAACAAGTCTAATTGCTTTTTGCAATAAAAATCATGTGGTTAATTGGTTAGCTTCTCTAATGTGTCAGACTGTTCCAACTCTTTTTTTTTAGGGGGGAAAGAGTTTCGCTCTGTTGCCCAGGCTGGAGTGCAGTGGCGCCATCTTGGCTCACTGCAAGCTCCGCCCCCTGGATTCACGCCATTCTTCTGCCTCAGCCTCCCAAGTAGCTCAGCCTACAGGCACCCACCACCACACCCGGCTAATATTTTGTATTTTTAGTAAAGAAGGGGTTTCGTCATGTTGGCCAGGCTGGTCTCAAACTCCTGACCTCAGGTGATCCACCCACCTCGGCCTCCCAAAGTGCTGGGATTACAGGCATGAGCCACCATACCCAGCCCCAACTATTTAAATGACAGATGTTTCTAGATTATGCTAAAGATGTCAAAAACTTCTAAATTTAACACAAATCCTACTAAGGAGTTTTAGTTGGCCTAAAATTTTCTAACTTTCCTGAGGATATAACATAACTTTCCTAGCTAGGAAGAATAGACATGACAAATCAGAGGGGCAGGATTTGAAGAGATTTCGTCAGCTGTAGAATTGAGTAATATGTTTCCTGGAGATGGTGCTAGTTGAGATATTTCTGCTATGTCAATGGGGAGGGGAATCCCACACCCATACCTTTCGGGGAATACAGAACTCAGGGCATCCTGTTTCTCTTGGACACATTTCTCGCAACTGTCCTGCTTACCTCGTGTTTATTGAAATCCTTTTTTTCCTTTTATCATCTAATTTGGATAGATAGAAATTTGTGTTGCTGCTCAAATTTCAGTTTAATTTCCTCTACCATCCAACTGGATTTAATTCATTTAATGCATTTTCTTGCATTTATTAGGTTCTGAATTCCTTTTAGTTTTGGGGTTTTTTTTTGCTTGGGTCAGAGTCACATGTGATAATCCATTTATTGATGATCATCAATAATAAGGGTAATCATATGAATATTACTATTACTATTGTTTTTATTGTTTTTCTTACCTTAATCCTCTTCCTCAGACATATCCAGTGTTAAGAGGTAGAAAAGTATCTTCCCCTTTTTACCTTGTGAGCAGGTACACACATACACACATATACATACATACACATACAAATAAACACACACATATACTCACATGCACACACACATATATATATACACATACATGTACACTGGATACATACACACAAATACACACATACACATATACACACATATACATCTCCCCCACATGCACACACATGCACACACATAAGTACATGCATACACACATATGTATATGCACATACATATAACACATACATACATACATGCACACACATAAGTACACAATACACACACATATATATGCACATACATATAACACATACATACACACATGCACACAGACACCCCCCCACACACATTTACACACATACACACAGGTATATACACATATATGCATATACCCATACACACATACAGACATACAGACATCTACACACAAATACACACATACACATACATACACACACATATCCACGTTCCTCACACGCATACACACATATATACATACAGGCATATACAAATGTACACACATTCACGAACACACATATACACACACGTATACATACATATACACAAACACACATACACAGATAGGCATACATAGACATACACAGAGATACACACACATGCACACACATGTACACAGCCCAACACATACATATACACACACTCACATACATAAGCGCACACACACACGCACACGCGTAGGAGTCATTTTATTGAGCACTTATTTGAGAGGTTTAGGACAGTGATTAATGATTCAGCCTCTGCTGCCAGACTGTCAAGGTTCAAATCGTAGTTCTTCCATCTGCTAGATACGAGTCCTTGTTTCTCCTTTCACACATCAAAATAATCATAAATACCCTCTACTTGCTAGATATCTTCTACAAATTAAACAAGTTAATATATAAAAGACATTTAGAGCAATACCTGGCTCATAAAAAGTGTGTGCTATTTTTATTTCTATATACCAGAACATAAATACCATAATATATAATTTAAAATTAAACCAATTGTTTCTAAACCAAATGCGATACTATATACATGATACTCTGTAATTTGCTTTAGTTAACAATGGCTCAGAGACCTTTTTGCTTGTTGGTGCCTGTAGGTGTACTGCGGTATTCATTTTAACAGCTATATGGCTATCTCATTATTTGATTTCATTTTCATTTATTGACCCAACCTGTAGGGCATTGAGGCGTTCCACAAACTATCCCGAAATGAACACCACTGGACAAGATCCTTGCACAACTTTTAAGTATTTCTGGAAAGATTAATTCCTGGAAGGGGAATTGCTGAGTGAATGGTTATATGCAATTTACACGGTTATAGGTACAAACTTACTACATTGCATAAAGGTTACATCAATTTATCTTTCTTTCTTGCTTGCTTTTGACAAGATCTCACTCTGTCACCCACGCTGGAGTGCAGTGGAGTGATCACAGCTCACTGCAGCCTTGAACTCCAGGCCTCAAGAGATCCTCCCACTTCAGCCTCCTGAGTCGCTGGGACTAGAGTTATGCACCACCGTGCCTGTTCATTTTTAATTTGCTTGTATAGATAGGGTCTTGTTATATTGTCCAGACTGGTCTTGAATTCCTGGACTTGAATTTGTATTTCTTTTTTTCTTTTTTGAGATGGCCTCTTGCACTGTCGCCCAGGCTGGAGTGCAGTGGTGTGACCTCAGCTCACTGCAACCTCTGCCTCCTGGGTTCAAGCTATTCTCCTGCCTCAGCCTCCTGAGTAGCTGGGATTACAGGCACGTGCCACCACACCCGGCTAAATTTTTTTGTATTTTTAGTAGAGACAGGGTTTCACTGTGTTCGCCAGGCTGGTCTTGAACTGCTGACCTCATGATCCACCCACCTCAGCCTCCCAAAGTGCCGGGTTTACAGGTGTGAGCCACTGCACTCGGCCTCAATTTGTATTTCTTTTTTTTGAGACGGAGTCTCGCTGTGGCACCCAGGCTGGAGTGCAATGGCATGATCTCTGCTCACTGCAAGCTCTGCCTCCCGGGTTTACGCCATTCTTCTGCCTCAACCTCCCAAGTAGCTGGGACTACAGGCGCCCACCACCATGCCTGGCTAATCGTTTTGTAATTTTAGTAGAGACGGGGTTTCACTGTGTTAACCAGGATGGTCTCGATCTCCTGACCTCGTGATCCGCCCGTCTCATCCTCCCAAAGTGCTGGGATAACAGGCGTGGCCACCACGCCCGGCCTCAGTTTGTATTTCTAATGGGGCTTCTTGAATCAGAAAAAGGAGCCCAAGTGGATGCCCCTTTTAATTCTCCCTTGGATTGACTCGCAGCCTATTCTTAATGAGAAAAAGGACAGCTGTTATTTCATTAATGAGAGAGAGAGAGAGAGAGACAGAGAGAGAGAGAGAGAATGAACAAACACGTCTTTCCTTGCAGAATACAACTGAGAGCTTTGTCCCTGTGCTTAAACAAATATCCACGTGGACCAACTTCACCAAGGAGGAGACGTCCTCCCTGGCCACAGTCTTCCTGGAGAGCGTGGAAAGTTTGACACTGGCAGCTTTTTTGAAACCCTCAGCAAATGTCACTCAGACTGTTCGGACGGATTACTTAGGTAGGAGATACCCTTCGTGGCAAGGTTACATCTAGGTGATGATTTTGAGAGTTGACTTTGGCAATGGGATTTTCCCTGAGTTTCCCACCCATTCTTTCTCCAACTGTTTAAATACCTTGAATTCACAGCAAAGTAAGTCTAATCATATTAACAACATTTTCCATTCACTGAGCACTTGGCAAAGGCCAGGCACTATGCTAAGACCATATCATTAATTTATTCTACAAATATTTGCTGATTAGCTGCTATGTGCTGGGCTAAGGTATGACAGTCATAGGCTGTGCTTAAGCACTTCCTGTTTGCCCTGCTGGGCCCACGGTAGAATTGTACTTCCTGGTACTGTGTGGTTAGTGGGATTTGGAGACTAGTTCAGGCCAATAAATTGGAGAATAGAGTAGTTGCCAGTATGAGACTTTCCAGAACTTTCTTTCCCTCTGCCCATACGATTAGCAGTGCCTCAGGTCACAGCTGCTCCATCTGCCTGGGTGCCAGAATAAAGATAATATGGAACATGGCCTCAAGTCAATTTACAATAGATACAAAGCATTAATGAGATATAAACGCTTGTTTTTTTTAAATCCACTAAGACTTAGGGTTGTTTGTTACTGCTGCAAGACTGATCCTTTCTGACTCATACATACTTGATAGATGACTACTTGGGAATAGTGGCTGCTGTAGATCTTTTACATTAGCACCCTACTCCTGGTAGTAGTTCCAGTATCATTCACATAAACCTAGGAAGTTCCAACCTAATGGATGCCCAGAAGGCCAAGAGGTGGAAATAAAGTATTTGGTGGACTCCAACCAGTAGTGAACAAAATTAGTCTCATGAATCTTATATTTTAGTGAGTTGAGTCAGACAATAAACAAACAGACATCTGGTATACCAAATAGAGGTAGGGCTACTGAGAAAAAATACAGCAGGCTAGGGAGGTTAAAGAGGGTTGGGATTAGAGGGAGAGTTGCTACTTTATATAGTGAGATCAGGGTAAGTCTCATTGGGGCAGGGATGTCAGGGAAGAGAGTCATGTAAATATCTGGAGAAAGAGCAAGTGCAGGAATACCTGGAGAATTCAAGGAATCATGAGGTGCCCAGTGTGGCTGAAGTGGCATTGAAGATGGTGATAGCAGTAGGAGAAAGGAAATGTAGACAAATTTAGGGACTTGAGGTTTTTCTTTTTCTTTTTCTTTCTTTTTTTTTTTGAGACAGGGTCCCACTCTGTCACCTAGGCTAGAGTGCAGTGGTACAATCATAGCTCACTATAGTTTCACACTCCCAGGCTCAAGCCATCCTCCTGCCTCAGCCTCCTGAGTAGCTGGGAACTATAGGCGTGCACCACCATGCTTGTCTAGTTTTTAAAATTTTTGGTAGAAATGAGGTCTTGCTATGTTGCCCATGCTGGTCTTGAACTCCTGAGCTCAAGTGATCCTCCTGCTTGGCCTCCCAAAGTACTAGGATTACAGGCCTGAACCACTGTACCCAGCCAAGATTTTATTTGAAGTGAGATGAAAAGACACTGGAAAATTTGGGAACAGGTATGGTATTATCTGGCTTATATTTTACAAGGATTCTTCTGGTTCCATTATCTAGTTTATTTTCAGGAAGGGCCAGTGGGTTAGGTCCTGCAATGTGTTGCCATGATACAGATGAGAAATAGGAGGCATAGAGAGCTTAAGTCAATACTCAAATTTAGGCAGCTAGTGCGCCGCAGAGCTGGACCTCCAAGTTACCACCATCTGACTACAGAACCTGAGCTCTTGTGTACCATGCTAGGCTTGCCCCAATCCCTTACTATTCATTTTGGTTTTAGAAAACACATGAAGCCGGGCGCAGTGGCTCACACCTGTAATCCCAGCACTTTGGGAGGCCGAGGCGGGCATATTACAAGGTCAGGAGATCGAGACCATCCTGGCTAACACGGTGAAACCCCGTCTCTACTAAAACCACAAAATTATCCGGGCATGGTGGCGCATGCCTGTAATCCCAGCTACTTGGGAGGCTGAGGCAGGAGAATGGCGTGAACCCGGGAGGCGGAGCTTGCAGTGAGACAAGATCTCGCCACTGCACTCCAGCCCGGGCAACAGAGCGAGACTCTGTCTCCAAAATAAAAACATCAACAAAACTAAAAAACAAAAACAAAACAAAAAACTTAGAGTAGAGAGAGGATCATGACTGTTGCCTTCCATCACTGTTGACTTTGACCCCATCTTTCCCTGATGCATCCCCTAGAATATGAGAGCTGGCTTCTTTTTTTTTTTTTTTTTTTTTTTTGAGACGGAGTCTCGCTCTGTCGCCCAGGCTGGAGTGCAGTGGCCGGATCTCAGCTCACTGCAAGCTCCGCCTCCCGGGTTCACGCCATTCTCCGGCCTCAGCCTCCCGAGTAGCTGGGACTACAGGCACCCGCCACCTCGCCCGGCTAGTTTTTTGTATTTCTTAATAGAGACGGGGTTTCACCGTGTTAGCCAGGATGGTCTCGATCTCCTGACCTCGTGATCCGCCCGTCTCGGCCTCCCAAAGTGCTGGGATTACAGGCTTGAGCCACCGCGCCCGGCCGAGAGCTGGCTTCTAAGGCTCCACCTGGGTTACTCATTTGTTTGGTGCTATGGTTCTCCTATCATTCGTTATGGGACTCAAGATCTTTCCTATCATGAATTGAACTTTCGATTCTTTTTCTCTGCTCGCCACGATGGATGTGTACTTTTTGTTGGACAGAAACCAAATTCAGGACTGACTTTCTGGGCGACCTCATAGGAACTCTCCCTTTTTCTTTTTAGACATTGAGAGCAAAGTTATCAACAAAGAATGCAGTGAAGAGAATGTGAACTTCAGCTTGGCAGCCAAGGGGGATAAGATGAAGATCCGGTGTTCCACAATTGAGGAATCTGAATCCACAGGTACAGTTCCTCTCCTGAGAATGCAGGTTATGGTGTATTCCATTAATATGCATTTATTGATCCCTTTCAAGGTGCCAAGACCGGTGCCAGATGGTTGAGAACCAATGAGGGCAGAAATGGCCTATGCTCTCAGAGTTTTCCATCTGCTAGGGAAGTCAAGCATTAAATGACCTTGTAATACTGGAGTACTGAGACCTTCACTGGCCTGTATGATATGAACTGGTCACATTCAGCTGTTGAGCAGTTGAAATTTGATTAAGCCAGGTTGAGAACTACTGTAAACCTAAAATAAACACTGTATTTCAAAGGCTTGGTGCCCAAAAAGAAGGATTAAGACATCTCACTAGTCATTTTTTTGTATTTAAAATAATATAAAAATAAAAAATATTTAAATTTTTAAAATATTTAAATCTTTAAAATATATAATATTTAAATTTTTAAAATATTTAAATCTTTAAAATATATAGTATTTAAATTTTTAAAATATTTAAATTTTAAAATATGTAATATTTAAAAATTTAAAATATGCAATATTTAAAATAAATTTTTACATTTTAAAATATATTTATATGTTGAAATAATATTTGGCTTATACTGAGTTAATATATTATTAAAATTAATTTTATCTTTTTTTACTTAAAAAAATGTGTACTGGAAAATTTAAAATTACATATGTTGTTCGTACTATATTTATGTTGGACACTGCTAATCAGTGTCAGGGATGGCAAACTTTTTCTGTAGAGGGCTCATTAGTAACTATTTTAAGCATTGCAATTAATACAGCCTCTATCACGATGACTTAACTACCATTATAGTTCAAAAGCATTCATAGACAATATATGAATGTGCCTGGGCATGTTTCAATAAAACTGTATTTAAAAAAGTAGGTGACAGCCAGATTGGCCCATAGGCCATAGTTTTCCAGCCCCTGATCTGATCTATGCATATGATTAACACTGTGATTAATACTTTAATGTGCAAAATGGAAGAGATATTTAAGCGAAGTCCTGAGGAATATGTAAAGAAAGTAGGAGAGAGTGTGTTATAGGAAGTACAAGCTATGGCTCTGTGTTGAAATAAAGCTTGGTATGATCATGGAACTAAAAGTAGAGTGGGCTGGAGCACCAGGAACGTGGGGGAGAGAGGGAAAAGAATTGAAGGTCACTGGGCGTGGCGGCTCACACCTGTAATCCCAACACCTTGGGAGGCCGAGTTAGAAAGAGAGAGACAGGGATATGTCCTATGCCGCTTCCTGTAGGGTCCAGCCCCACAGGGTTGGTGGGTTTTTCTCCCTGTGTGCGGAGACAAGAGATTGTAGGAATAAAGACACAAGACAAAGAGATAAAAGAAAAGACAGCTGGGCCTGGGAGACCACTACCGCCAAGACGTGGAGACCGGTAGTGGCCCCGAATGACAGGCTGAGCTGATATTTATTGGATACAAGACAAACGGGCAGGGTAAGGAGTGTGAGCCATCTCCAATGATAGGTAAGGTCACATGGGTCACGTGTCCACTGGACAGGGGACCCTACCCTGCCTGGCAGCCGAGGCAGAGAGAAAGAGAGGAGAGAGAGAGAGACAGCTTACGCCATTATTTCTGCATATCAGAGACTTTTAATACTTTCACTAATTTGCTACTGTTATCTGGAAGGCAGAGCCAGGTGTACAGGATGGAACATGAAGGTGGACTAGGAGCGTGACCACTGAAGCACAGCATCACAGGGAGACGGTTGGGCCTCCAGATAACATCAGTCAGGCCCTTCATAAGAGGTGGAGGAGTAGAGTCTTCTCTGAACTCCTCCGGGGAAAGGGAGACTCCCTTTCCCTGTCTTCCCTGTCTGCTAAGTAGCAGGTGTTTTTCCTTGACACTGACACTACCGCTAGACCACGGTCTGCTTGGCAACGGGCATCTTCCCAGATGCTGGTGTTACTGCTAGACCAAGGAGCCCTCTGGTGGCCCTGCCCGGGCATAACAGAAGGCTCACACTCCGGTCTTCTGGTCACTTCTCACTATGTCCCCTCAGCCCCTATCTCTGTGTAGCTTGGTTTTTCCTAAGTTACAATTGTAGATCAAGGATTATTATAATATTGGAGTAAAGAGTCATTGCTACAGACTAATGATTAATGATAGTTATACATAATCATATCTATTATCTATATCTAGTATGACTATTCTTATTCTATATATTTTATTATACTGGAACAGCCCGTGCCCTCGATCTCTTGCCTCGGCACCTGGGTGGCTTGCTGTCCACAGCTTCCTGTCCCAACCAGACAGTACCATCCCCCAGGCTTCATCTGCCACTGCCAAGCTAATGGAGGGACCCCTTGGATGTCCCCCTAGACATCATAAATTGAACACTTTCTCTCTCCTCCTCCTCCTCCTCCTCTTCCTCTTCCTCTTCCTCTTCTTCTTCTTCTTCTTCCTTCTCCTCCTTCTCCTCCTTCTTCTTTTCCTTCTTCTTTTTCTTTTTCTTTTTTTTGAGATGGAATCTTGCTCTGTTGCCCAGGCTGGAGTGCAATGGCATGGTCTTGGCTCATTGCAACCTCCGCCTCCTGGATTCAAGTGATTCTCGTGCCTCAGCCTCCCAAGTAGCTGGGACTACAGGCACTTGCCACCATGCCCAGCTAGTTTTTGTATTTTTAGTAGGGACGGGGTTTCACCATGTTGGCCAGGCTGGTCTTGAACTCCTGACCTCAAGTGATCCACTTGCCTTGGCCTCCCAAAGTGCTGGGATTACAGGCGTGAGCCACTCTGCCCAGCTGTGGAAGTTTTTGTTTCATTTTGTTTTGTTTTGTTTTGAGACGGAGTCTTGCTCTGTCACCAGGCTGGAGTGCAGTGGTGCGATCTTGGCTCACTGCAATCTCTGCCTCCCAGGTTCAAGTGATTCCCCTGCCTCAGCCTCCCAAGTAGCTGGAGCTACAGGCGCGCATCACTACAGCAGGCTAATTTTTTGTATTTTAGTAGAGACGGAGTTTCACTATGTTAGCCGGGATGGTCTGGATCTCCTGACCTTGTGATCCACCCGCCTCGGCCTCCCAAAGTGCTGGGATTATAGGCGTCAGCTACCATGCCCGGCGGGAGGTTTATTTTTTAAACCTAGAAGCCCGCTGGTTATTTTAATCTCGGAGCAGCACAGTGAGGTGCATGTCTCTCTCTCTCTCTCTCTCTCTCTCTCTCTCTCTCGTGTGTGTTCGATCTTCTATAATAACTATTGAGCAAACGATTCCCTCTTTTTTTCATTTGGGGAAACCTGCAGGGACCACTGGTGTGGCTTTTGTCTCCTTTGTGGGCGTGGAGTCTGTTTTAAACGAACGCTTCTTCCAAGACCACCAGGCTCCCCTGACCACCTCCAAGATCAAGCTGAAGATGAATTCTCGAGTCGTTGGGGGCATCATGACTGGGGAGAAGAAAGATGGCTTCTCAGATCCAGTCATCTACACACTGGAGAACATTCAGGTTTGTGAAGACGTCTCTGCTGAGATTCCTGTCTACCTCTTGGGAACTCCTCGTCTCTCGATTTCCTTAACTCTCATTTTTTATAGGAAGCTATTGTGGTCGGTAAGCTTCCACAATTTCTAGCAATTCAAGTCAATTAACAGAAGCCACCGCTAGAGGAATGAGGTCTCCCACTGTTACCAAACAGAACTAGGTCCATTTGCCCATGTGCAACAGGAAGTCAAACACTGAAGCACGGGGTTTTTGTAGAGAGAGAAGTTTATTGCAAGACTGCCAAGAAAGGACACAGGAGTCTGGCTCAAATCTGTCTACCCAAGCTGGGGGGTTGGGGCAGGTTTTATAGTCAGTGGGTAATGAGCTGCGTTCTGATTGCATCTTACAATGAAGTGATGCAGGAAGGCGTGATCTGATTGGATGCTGCCATGGGGTGATGCCAGGGCTTGATCTGATTGGATCCTGGATGCTGCTATGTGGTTGTTGCTTCTTTTATTATTATTATTATTATTATACTTTAAGTTTTACGGTACATGTGCACAACATGCAGGTTTGTTACATATGTATATATACATATGCCATGTTGGTGTACTGCACCCATTAACTCATCATTTACATTAGGTATATCTCCTAATGCTTTCCCTCCCACCTCCCCCCACCCCACAACAGGACCCGGTGTGTGATGTTCCCCTTCCTGTGTCCAAGTGTTCTCATTGTTCAGTTCCCACCTATGAGTGAGAACATGCGGTGTTTGGTTTTCTGTTCTTGCGATAGTTTGCTGAGAATGATGGTTTCCAGCTGCATCCATGTCCCTACAAAGGACATGATCTCATCCTTTTTTATGGCTGCATAGTATTCCATGGTGTATATGTGCCACATTTTCTTAATCCAGTCTGTCATCGATGGACATTTGGGTTGGTTCCAAGTCTTTGTTATTGTGAATAGTGCCGCAATAAACATATGTGTGCATGTGTCTTTATAGCAGCATGATTTGTAATCCTTTGGGTATATACCCAGTAATGGGATAACTGGGTCAAATGGTATTTCTAGTTCTAGATCCTTGAGGAATCACCACACTGTCTTCCACAATAGTTGAACTAGTTCACACTGCAACCCCTGCCTCCTCAGTTCAAGCCGTTCTCCAGAGTAACTGGGATTACAGGTGCCCACCACCATGCCCAGCTAACCTTTTTGTATTTGGTGGAGACAGGGTTTCACCGTGTTGGTCAGGCTGGTCTTGAACACCTGACCTCAGGTGATCCACCCGCCTCAGCCTCTTAAAGTGCTGGGATTACAGGCATAAGCCACCATGCCCACCCTTCTAATATACATTCTTAAAGCATGTTGTTCTTAAATTGTTACTAAAAATATTTCTCTGTTTACTTGGCTTTTATATGTTTTTCCTCCCACTGCACTATGATCTCCTTGGGGGAAGAACTGTGTCTATTTTATTTACTAATGTCTCCCGTAAACAGCACAGATCAAGGCATGTAATAGGTATTCAATAAAAACATGTTGAACGAGGCTGGGTGTGGTGGCTCATGCCTCTAATCCCAACAGTTTGGGTGGCCTATGCAGGCGGATTACTTGAGGTCAGGAGTTCGAGACCAGCCTGGCCAATATGGAGAAACCCCATCTTTACTAAAAATACAAAAATTAGCTGGATATGGTGACACATGCCTGTAATCCCAGAACTTTGGGAGGCCCAAGGCAGGTGAATCACTTGACATCAGGAGTTCAATACTGGTCTGGCCAACATAGTAAAACCCCGTCTCTACTAAAAATACCAAAATTAGCCAAGCATGGTGGTGGGCACCTGTAATCCCAGCTACTTGGGAGGCTGAGGCAGAAGAATCACTTGAACCCTGAGACGGAGGTTGCAGTGAGCTGAGACTGCACCACTGCACTCCAGCCTGGGCGACACAGTGAGACTCAGTCACACACAGACACACAAAAAAACCACACATTGAATGAGTAAGTGAATAATGAGTGACTATGCAGAAGGCCTTATTATGGATTTGATGAAAGGAGGAGTTTTCTTCTAGCAACAGGAATGTAAGCTGCCCCATCAGATTGGCCCTCATTGCATAACGAAATATCAGCATTTTCCCCCATTCCCTCAGAACGTACCTTGTGTATTCTTGTTCCCAGTGACTCTTGAGGATGGTCACATTTAATCTATTTGATGGGGATCCTCAGGTGACCAGGGCCTTTGTTTTTTTGTTTTTTTTTTTTTAAATTTTGGGTTTTTTTTTTTTTAGCCAAAGCAGGAGTTTGAGAGGCCCATCTGTGTTTCCTGGAGCACCGATGTGAAGGGTGGAAGATGGACATCCTTTGGCTGTGTGATCCTGGAAGCCTCTGAGATACATACCGTCTGCAGCTGTAATCGGATGGCGAATCTTGCTGTTATCATGGCTTCTGGGGAGCTCACGGTTAGTAATGATGATTTGTTCCCTGAGGCAGAGTATCTGCCTCCAAATCCAATGGGGAAATATTGATTAAACGTCTGTTGTGTTTCTCCCATGGGGTTGGGTGTTGTGGGACAGAGTCATGGGGACAGAAGGGGTAGGTGATACACTGTCGCCCCTGCAGAACTTACAGTCTGGTTGGAAGGCCATGAAGCTCACGTATACAATGAGAAATAATGACCCTAAATAGGGCCAGGCACTGGAGCAATCACAGATCTTACTTAATGAGCACCTACAGCGTGCTGGGCTCTTTAAGTTAAGCGGTTTCAGACGCATTTCACAGAATGGGCAAAGTGGCCCGTCTAGTCCTGAAGTTAGAAATTGGGGCAGGTGGAATTCAAATCTGGGGAAATCTCTTTCGACTAAAACATGCAAATGGGTCAAGAAGGAATGCTGTAAGAATTCAGAGGTATTGGCCAGGCGCGGTGGCTCATGCCTGTCATCTCAGCACTTTGGGAGGCCAAGGTGGGTGCATCATGAGGTCAAGAGATCGAGACCATCCTGGTCAACATGGTGAAACCCCATGTCTACTAAGAATACACAAATCAGCTGGGCGTGGTGATGCATGCCTGTTGTCCCAGCTACTCCAGAGGCAGAGGCAGGAGAATCGCTTGAATCGCTTGAACCTGGGAGGCAGAGGTTGCAGTGAGCTGAGATGGCACCACCGCATTCCAGCCTGGCAACAGAGCGAGACTCTGTCTCACAAAAAAAAAAACCAAAAAAAACAAAAAACAAACAAAACAAACAAACAAACAAACAAAAAAGAATTCTGAGGTGTTTCCAAGAGAGACGATGACAGATCGGGAGGGAACAGAATATGAAATAAGCCTTGGTGAATGAGTAGATTCGGCAGAGAGGAAGGACGTCCTCATTAGTGTTGTAGAAAGCATCCTTTCGCCGGGCGCGGTGGTTCACGCCTGTAATCTCAGCACTTTGGGAGGCCGAGGCGGGCGGATCAGGAGGTCAGGCGATCCAGACCATCCTGCTTAACACGGTGAAACCCTGTGTCTACTAAAAATACAAAAAATTAGCCGGGTGTGGTGGCAGGCGCCTATAGTCCCAGCTACTCGGGAGGCTGAGGCAGGAGAATGGTGTCAACCCGGGAGGCAGAGCTTGCAGTGAGCCGAGATCACATCACTGCACTCCAGCTTGAGTGACAGAGTGAGACTCTGTTTCAAAAAAAAAAAAAAAAAAGTATCCTTTCCTATCATGGTAGACCCAACGTTTAATTCCCTACCAGGGAGGCCATAAGTAAGTGCCGTTTTAAGGACCATGTGGCTTAGGATTTAAGAGAACTGGATCCAGAACAAAACTGACTGAGTTTCAAATCCCATCTCTACCACTTTCTAGCTGTGTTTTCTCGGAAAAGTAACTTAACTTCTCTGCACTGAGCCCAGCTGTCTCATCTCAAAAATGAGAACGATAACAAAAATTGCTGATGATCACTAGCATTTATACAGCATGTTTCTGGCACAGTTGTACTTTAAATGTTTTCTTTTAATCCTCCTACAACAACTGTGTAAGGCAGTTACCATTAATATTCTCTTTTTAACAGATGAGGAAACTGAGGGCAAAGAGCAGTTAAGTGTCTTGTCCAAACTCACACAACTAGAAATTGGTCAGTTTTCTTTTCTTTTTTCTGGTTTTTTTTTTTTTTGAGACTGAATTTCGCTCTTGTCACCAGGCTAGAGTGCAGTGGCGCGATCTCGGCTCACTGCAACCTCCGTCTCCCAGGTTCAAGTGATTCTCCTGACTCAGCCTCCCGAGTAGCTGGGATTACAGGTGCCTGCCACCATGCCCAGCTTTTTTCTTTCTTTCTTTTTTTTTGGGGGGGTAGAGTCAGAGTTTTGCCATGTTGGCCAGGCTGGTCTTGAACCCCCTGACCTCAGGTGATCCACCCACCTCAGCCTCCCAAAGTGCTGGAATTACTGCGCCCAGTCAATGGTCAGTTTTCCTAACCACTTTGTGACAATATCATAGAGAGGTGCTCATAAGATGGTGCCTGGCATATCTTTAACCCACAGAAAGCACTTGGATACATTTAAAATCAATTTTAAAATTAATTATGAATAAATGGCATAGAAGAAGGACTTAGCTTGTCATGTTCCTGAAGTTGGAGCATTCCTGAATGTCTGCATTATCAATTGGGATGCAGTACAGGAAGGAAAAAACACCCCAGGTATTTCAAGCAGAAAGGGATTTAGTACAGGGAAGTGGGTGCTCACAAAAATCTCTGGGAGAGGATGGAGGAGTTGAAGTCAGGGGGCTGTCACTTCAATTTTGGCTTCAAGATCATCCCCCAATACAGCTATAACTCAGAGGTCAGAAATTGCTACTGTCCTTTTGCCACCCCCCTCCACCATGAAATTGGGGACTGGACAGTGGAAATGTGGAATGAAGCTCACTCCTGTCGGCCAAAAGCTGATATTTGCCTCCCTTCTGCATTCCAAGACATTCACAGATGTATCTCACTGGAGAACCTAAATTACATCCAGGACCTTAGTTCCCAAGGATTCTGGGAGATGTAGTTTGTGGACATCCAGTCCCAGTCATACCTGGAGTAGCGCATAGGACAGGGCTGGGAATAGGTGCTGGTGGATGCCAGTTGATTGCAAAGGATAATGAAGGACAATATCTAGTTCACTGAGTGTTAGAGGGAGAAAAGGCCCCCAAGCTAATTTTGCCCGAGCCAGGGTTTTAGATAACTGTTCTTCCCACCTGGGGGAATTTTGATCCCATTCTCAGGCCAACTATGAATTCCTTCCTGACAGATGGACTTCTCCTTGTACGTCATTAGCCACGTGGGCATGATCATCTCCTTGGTGTGCCTCGTCTTGGCCATCGCCACCTTTTTGCTGTGTCGCTCCATCCGAAATCACATCACCTACCTCCACCTGCACCTCTGCGTGTGTCTCCTCTTGGCCAAGATCCTCTTCCTCGCCGGTATAGACAAGACTGACAATCAGGTCTACATCGCTGGGGCTGTGTCCCTACCAAACCCCATCTTCTCCCCACCTGCCTCAGCTCATTCCTACCCAATCCCCTCTACCCCTGTTCCTACCTCAGGGCCTTTGCATAGGCTGTGCCCTCTGCCTGTAACACTCACTTCCCAGCTTCTCACCTGCTTGACTCCTTGTGACAGCTCTCAGTTCAAAATTACATCCCTGATCATGTTATGAATTGTAACGGTTCCTCCTATTACTTGTTTTTGTTTGTTTGTTTTTGATACTGAGTTTCGCCCTTGTTGCCCAGGCTGGAGTGCAATGTGATCTTGGCTCACTGCAACCCCGTCCTCTGGGTTCAAGCAATTCTCCTGCCTCAGCCTCCTGAGTAGCTGGGAATACGGGCATGAGTCACTATGTCCTGCTAATTTTTTTGTATTTTTAGTAGAGACGGGGTTTCACCATTTTGGCCAGGCTAGTCCTGAACTCCTGACCTCAGGTGATCCACCCGCCTTGGCCTCCCAAAAAGTGCTGGGATTACAGGCTTGAACCACAACGCACAGCCCCTCCAATACTTTCTAAACCAGAGGTTCTCTCCCTGGGTGCTTTTTCCCTCCCAGGGGAGACTTGGCAATGTCTGGAGACATTTTTGGTTGTCACAACTGGAGGAGCGTGCTACTGGTATCTAGCGGGTAAAGGTTAGGGATGCTGCTAAGGATCTTGTAGTGCACAAGACAGCCCTCCATGACAGAGGATGATCCTGCAATAATGTTACAAATGTCGATAATGCTACAGCTTAGAATCTCCACTTCTCTTTCTTTTTATTTTCTCCTTCCTTCCTTCCTTCCTTCCTTCCTTCCTTCCTTCCTTCCTTCCCTTTGCTTTCTTTCTTTCTTTCTTTTTTTTTTTTTGAGACAGGGTCTTGCTGTGTCACTTAGGCTAGAGTGCAGTGGCTGAATCACACCTCATTACAGCCTCCCGGGCTCAAGCGATCCTCCCACCTCTGCCTCCCAAATACCTGGGACCACAGGCCTGTGCCACCATGTCTGGCTAATTTTTGTATTTTTTGTATGGAGAGGGGGGTTTCGTCATGTTTCCCAGGCTGATCTCAAACTCCTGGGCTCAAGCGATCTGCCTGCCTCAGCCTTCCAAAGTGCTGGGATTACAAGCGTGAGCCACCACACCCAGCCAATAAAGCTTTATTTACAAGGCAGGCAGTTAGCCTACGGGGTCTAGTTTGCTGAACCTGCCTATTTTCAACCATTCCCCAAAGTAGGGCGATCAACAGTCAGTTTTCCTAAAACTCTTCCTGTTTTAGAACTGAAAGTCATGCGTCTTGGGAAATCTCAGTTCCAGACAAACCAGGACCATGGGTCGCCTTACCAGGAAGTGGTGCTGCTTGTGATCGAGAACCACTGCCCATCTCTATAAATGTTTGTGAGATGAATGAGTGAGCTAGGTTTGGGGAATTTCCAGCCGAGGAGTCTCTCTCTTCCTTTCTTCCTCTCGATTTCTCTCTGGGGTGGAGGATCCTGATGTGCATGCTTCTCCCCTCCAGACGGGCTGCGCCATCATCGCAGGCTTCCTGCACTACCTTTTCCTTGCCTGCTTCTTCTGGATGCTGGTGGAGGCTGTGATGCTCTTCTTGATGGTCAGAAACCTGAAGGTGGTAAATTACTTCAGCTCTCGCAACATCAAGATGCTGCACATCTGTGCCGTTGGTTATGGGCTGCCGGTGCTGGTGGTGGTGATCTCCGCCAGTGTGCAGTCACAGGGCTATGGAATGCATAATCGGTGAGTGACATCCTCTCTCTTCCTGAAGACCATGCTGCCAAGGATCACAGTGATAATGACATGAGCAACAAGGGGAGTAACAACAGTAGCAGTAGTTGTGGCTACCATTTATCGAGCTCTTACATTATGTGCTATTGGTTTCAGGACCACCATGTACAGGAGCACAGGTTGTGCACTGCACAAATCCAGGGTCACTACTATTTGAGATTTATGTTCCAGGAGGAGAATATCTAGTTTACCTAATTGATTATTTTCCTTTTCTTGTGTGTATGACATGGAAGGTGGGGGTGAAAGCGAGAGAGGAATACTTCTGCATGGTGGCGTGTGTCTGTAATTCCAGCTACTCGGGAGGCTGAGGCAGGAGAATTGCTTGAACCCGGGAGGCGGAGGTTGCAATGAGCTGAGATCGCGCCATTGCACTCCAGCCTGGGGAACAAGAGTGAGACTTTGTCTCAAAAAACTGGTGGGGGGAATATTGGGGTGCTGTTATTCAACGTGATGGAATGGCTGTTATGTAGTAAAAGCAGCTAATGTACACTAGAGACATAATAAAAAGAGGCAATCCTTTCTTCCTCCCTCCAACCCTCCCTCACTCCCTCCTTCCTCCCTTCTTCCTCTCTCCGTATCTCCCTCCCCTCTTCCCTCCCTCCTTCCTTCCTTCCTCCCTTCCCTCCTTCCCTTTCTTCTTTCCTTCCTTCCCTTCCCTCCCTCCTTCCCTTCCCTCCCTCTCTTCCTCCCTTCCTCCTTTCCCTCCCTCTCTTCCTCCCTTCCTTTAAATAAACAATTATGAAATATCTTGTTTATGCTAGGCTTTGCTCTGAGTGCTGAGTATTCAGAAATGAACAAACACCCAAGGCCCAAATTCTCATGAAGCTCATAGTCTAGTAGTGGAAGACAATTTGCAATTACACAAGCAATTAAACAAGGTAACTTATGATAGCGATAGCTGCTATTTTAAAAATGCAGTGAGCTCTGCTAGATAGATACCAGGAGTAGAGACAGGATGCCCGATCTAAGGATAGTCAGGAGTGGCTTCTCAGAGGAGGTGACATTTAAGCTGAGATTTATTTATTTATTTATTTGTTATTTATTTATTTTGAGACAGAGTTTTGCTCTTGTCGCCCAGGCTGGAGTGCAGTGGCGTGATCTCGGCTCACAGCAACCTCCACCTCCCAGGTTCAAGCGATTCTCCTGCCTCAGCCTCCCAAGTAGCTGGGATTATAGACACCCACCACCACGCCCAGCTAATTGTTGTATTTTTAGTAGAGATGGGGTTTCACCATGTTGTCCAGGCTGGTCTGAAACTCTTGACCTCAGGTGATCCACCTGCCTTGGCCTCCCAAAGTGCTGGGATTACAGGTGTGAGCCACCGCACCCGGCCTGAGCTGAGATTTCAATGACAAAGTGTACCAGTGGAGAGTTCTACATAGAGGGAAACAGGATTAGGAAGTTGTGAATTGCGAAATGAGCTCAACCTCGGGCACCAGGTAAACATTTCAGGTACATTTGCCCAGGAAGAAGGTCTAAAAGAGGAAGCACGGTGGTCTAAAGGAAGCTGAACTGCAACCGGGACCATCCTGAGTGTCATCTGAGTCTCACCTCCCAGTGTTCTCCTCCACTAGGGCATTCGTTGGGGCAGGGCTAACTGTAAGGTCTGGACTCTGAGACGAGCACTGACTCCTCCTATTTCTCTCCGTAGCTGCTGGCTGAATACAGAGACAGGGTTCATCTGGAGTTTCTTGGGGCCAGTTTGCACAGTCATAGCGGTAAGCAAATATGACAACAGCCTGGCGAAGTGTGTTCTGAAGGCGGAGCAAGGAGACCTGCGAGATCTGGAATTTCCAAGGACGTGTGCAGCTGAGAGGGTCACTTATTCCCGTCAGGAGTTCTTTCCAGGCTGAGCACAGTGGCTCACGCCTGTAATCCCAGCACTTTGGGAGACTGAGGCGGGTGGATCACCTGAGGTCAGGAGTTCGAGACCAGTCTGGCCAACGTGGCAAAACCCCGTCTCTACTAAAAATACAAAAAATTAGCCGGGTGTGGTGGTGAGCACCTGTAATCCCAGCTACTCAGGAGGCTGAGGCAGGAGAATTCCTTGAATCCAGGAGACACGGAGGTTGCAGTGAGCCGAGATCGTGCCACTGCACTCCAGCCTGGGTGACAGAGCGAGACTCCATCTAAAAAAAAGAAAAAAAAATGGCAGCTCCTTCTTCCCATTTCTTTGTAAACCATGTGGACAGTAAGGAGAAGACAACATGTTGCCAGCCAAGTAAAGGCTCCATTTGCATAATAAAAGATCAGGGTGGGTGGCCAGCTTCCTCGTGCTCTATGTAAATGTCACACTGGGTCCAACCAATCTTTGGGCCCTATGTAAATCAAACACCGCCCCCTCAAGCCAGTCTGTAAAATCCGGTGCACTTTGCTGTGGGCCGGAAGTCCCAATCAGGAGGCCCTCTCTCTTGCAAGACACAGAGATCTAGTCTCCTTTCTCTTTCTTTTGCCTGTTAAACTTCTGCTCTTAAACTCACTCCTTCCTTAGCATGAGGCAATGAACCTCCCGTATTATTACCTCCAGACAACAACTCCACCTCAGAGAGACTCATGGACCCGTATACAAGATGGATACTGCCGGGGATAACACCGACTGCCGACTAGGCGGCGAGGCCTGGGGTGACACGAGCTGAGACGGTGTGCTC